TGTACTGAGCCTAGGGGGACGGGAGGACGCTATAGTTTGTGTCCTCCCGTTACCCTTAGGAGAACTATGGGGAAAAGCCCTGACCCCATAGTTCTCCTTTAAAGAACTAAGGACCTGTGATGTCATCACGCCATCATGTCAGGACACCCAAGGGACATTCGGCCACCAGAGCGGGGAGGGGGAGAGGTCAGCTGCCACCTCTACAGGACCAAGGAGCGGGTAAGTATATATTTATTTTAGCCCCTAGACCAAAACCAGCACCCTTGGAGTACGGGAGGGGGGTTTAGGGGGGGGGCAATTTATACAGATTTTTTTATGTTAAATGAAGTGAATCTATCAGAGAACAGGAGATACAATTTAAAGGGAAAGTTTTCTGCTTTTTATATATTTTCTTTATTATGTTTTAGACCAAAAACAAATTTTTTTTATCATTATTTAGTTAAGTAAATATGAAATCTTGCCTATCAATATATATTATTTCCCGCCTTTCCCAGCAGATGGCGCTCCAAGCTATTATCACAGGCTAATTTTAACCTCTTTGCTAAAAAAAAAAAGAAGCTTTTTTTTTAACGGAGCTCAATAGCTGAAGTTCAGATTACACACACAGCTGAATGAGTCAGAGTTGTAGTGGTTCCCCCTACCCCCATCTCTTTCTTTGCTCACCGTTGCCACAGGCTAATCTTAATCTAATTGCTGAACAAGACTATTTTTTTTACGGAGCTCAATAGCTGAAGTTCAGATTACACACACAGCTGAATGAGTCAGAGTTGTAGTGGTTCCCCCTACCCCCATCTCTTTCTTTGCTCACCGTTGCCACAGGCTAATCTTAATCTAATTGCTGAACAAGACTATTTTTTTTACGGAGCTCAATAGCTGAAGTTCAGATTACACACACAGCTGGAAGAGCGATTACACACACAGCTGAAAGAGAGAAGTAGTGGTTCCCCCCACCCCCATCTCTCTCCCTGCTCACCATTATCACAGGCTAATTGTAACCTTGCTGAACAAGCCTTTTCTTTTTATGGAGCTCAATAGCTGAAGTTCAGATTACACATACAGCTGAATGAGTCAGAGAAGTAGTGGTTCCCCCCAATCCCCATCTCCCTCCTGGCTCTGAACAGTTCCTTGTAGACCTTCAATCGGGGAGAGACGGTCTGAAAGGAAACAGTTTCCACTATCTGTTTAGAAAATGAATAACACTCTGTAAGTCCACGCTCGCAGCGTTTGCAAAATGCAGATTTTCTTATAAATCGGAAACAAACAAAAAAACATCAGTTGAAAATTGCATCAAAAATGATCAAATTGACCCAAAAGGAATTAAAGGTTCCCTGTCATGAACAGAGGTAATAGAGTAGAGCACAGTCATTTTGGTTGTCAGTCACGCACAGTCTCCAGGAACCAGGAGGCCGGGAATCTCACTTTTTTGCAGCCCTGTTAGGCACCCTGATAGGTGATGGGGAACCAGGTCGTATATTCACAGCTGTGATTGGTTAGTGTTCTAAGGCAAAACTGGGCTGAGGGATGGCAGAAAATGGCACAGGAAACCCTTTTCATATTTCATGTAAAAATTTTTTAGAACCCCTGCTGAACACCATAAACACCTCACTCAGGGCCGTAAGTAGGATGAGGCGACTGAGGCACTCGCCTTGGGCGCAGGTGGGGAGGGGGCTAGAGCGACAGGGAGAAGTGGGGCTGCACAGCCAGCAGCTTCTCCTCTGGATCCCTGCTTCTCTCCTTGGCCTGTATGGGCAGAGGCAGTGGGGATCAGAGGAGAAGTGATGCGCTGAAGCCGGCGGGGGGATGCGGAGGAGGGAGCTGTCACTTTAGGATGGCCAAGCAGTGAGGATAGAGAGAGAGAGAGAGCTGCTCAACCAGGATCTGACAGCCAGCAACTCTCTCTCCTCACCGTTCGGTCATCCTGGATGACAGCTCTCCTCCTCCTCCTCCGCCCTCACCCCCGGCACCGGCTTCAGCACCTCACATCTCCTCAGATCCCCACTGCCTCTGCCCATACTCTGCCTCTGGAGAGCAGCGGGGATCTGAGAAGAAGCAGCAGGCTGTGCGGCTCAGGATGACAGAGCAGGGGATCGGTAAATGTGTCATATTTACCGATCCTCTGTGTGCAGAGCAAACACTGGAGAGATCAGCTGATCACTCCAGTGTTTGTAAAGAACTGGGGTCACACAGTACGATGTGTCCCCAGTTATGAATGAACAGGAAGTGCTTTACATCACTTCCTGTTCATTCATGAGTTTCTGATTGGGTAGTAGCACTCTGTACAGAGGCTCCTGCCATTGAGAACCTGGTTGATAGTAAATAGTTTCTGAATGAATGGGATGCCTCTGTACTTTTCCAGCCACTTAGAACAGAGGCTGCAGAAAAGAGATTTCTATTTTGAAAGGGAAATATCAGGTGCCTGTTTAAACCCCTAATATTTCCCCGAAGCCCCCCCCCCCCAACAGTAAAAATAAAAGATAAATAAATGATAAAGAATTTTTAAAAACGCATCCTGGAGGCGGGGCGCATGACGCCACATGCCTGTTGGGAGGGGGCACCTTTTGTGTTGTCGCCTGGGCGCAAAAAGAGCTAGCTACTAGACATGTGCACTGCCAAAAAATTTGTTTCGTTTTGATTCCGATTAGTGTTATTCCGTGTTTCAGGATTCGGGTGTGAAAGTCAATTCGGATTCGGAATCGGACAAAATCCGTTAGCGGTAGTTCGCTCGGACGTTCGTTTGCAGCAAAGTGACATTTGAGGGGCAAAACATGTTTTTCTCCTTCCCTAATGTCACTTTGCTCCAACGAACGAAACGAATAAGAAAAGAAACGAAAACGAGACGAACTACCGCTACCGAATTTCGGAAACTCGGATTCGTTTGCATTCGTTACATCTGTAATTCGGAATTCAGATACATCGGAATGTCCGAATTTCCAAAAATTCGTCCGAATTTCGATTCAGAACCAAACGAATCGCCCATGTCTACTAGCTACGGCTCTATACAACAATATACATGGTTTTGGGCTCACTTGTATCCTCCGGAGACCCCAGATTCCATCCAGTAATCTCTTCCTCCAGTCCACGTTTCCACCTCATCCCATCATCGGACTGTTGTGTCCTCATCAGCCACATCTCGTCCTTCAGATTAATGTTCTCATTCATTGCCTGGCTTTCCAGAACAAAATTCACCTCGGCTCATTTTGTTCCCGATCGCCGATTTTCAAATCACGCTATTAATGGTTTAATGTGAACCAAGCCGGCGGGCTGGGAAGAGTTTTCCCCAAAATGATGATCTGCAAAGCCGGGGGAAAAAAAAAAAGGCAAGTTTGTAACAAATGATAAAATGAAAGCAAGCTTACTGCATTGGTAACAAAAATGTCACCAGGTTCTCCAACACTTGCCGTAGTTCCAAAGGGCGATGATGGGCGTTCAGAATCCAATAATGACTCTGCAAACTGTTCCAGATCATTATTAAATTCTGATCCCAACGGAACCCGGTGCTCGAGCTTTGCCGTTGTGTGTGTAGGGAGCCCCCGGGCCAGTGTCTGAACTGTCTGTTTCTCGTTGTTACAGTTGATAAGGAGGCCGATGACTATTATATGAGAAGGCGACACCTCCCGGATCTGGCCGCGCGGGGGACGCTTCCGCTGAACGTCATCAAAATGACTCAGGACCAGTCGAACTACAGAGAGCGGCCCAGGAGGCCCGTGCGCGCCATGTCTCAGGACAGGGTCTTGTCCCCGGAGAAGAACATGCCCGAGGAAGGGTACGGCTTGCCCTACGACCGCATCTTGTCCGACGAGCAGCTTTTGTCTGCCGAACGTCTGCACTCTCAGGATCCCCTGCTCTCCCCGGACAAGGCCATGACCCTGAAGAGGTCCGAGTTCCAGTCCGAGAAGTCCATGTCAAGAGCCATTTCTCAAACCGATGTCTTTGTTTCCACGCCAGTACTGGATCGTTACCGGATGACAAAGATGCACTCCCATCCCAGTGCCTCAAATAACTTGTATAACACGCTGGGCGTCAACCAGACGGCCGCCAAGCGTCAAGCCTTTGCTTCCCGGAGGCACAACACGGTCGAACAACTGCACTATATTCCAGGGCATCACCAACAGTACCGCACAGCTAGCAAAACAGAAGTGACTGTTTGATAAAAAAACTTAACAAAAAAAAAGATTAAAAATGAAAAAATGTGAATTGTAGATATTTGTTAGACTGAAGCAGTCCCAGGACACCACGCTACCGTGGCCTTGTGGGCCAAGAAGACCTCCTCTTTCATGTCTCATGAGTCGATTGTCCCAGGACACCACGCTACCGTGGCCTTGTGGGCCAAGAAGACCTCCTCTTTCATGTCTCATGAGTCGATTGCCCATTGTCCCAGGACACCACACCACCGTGGCCTTGTGGGCCAAGAAGACCTCCTCCTTCATGTCTCATGAGTCGATTGCCCATTGTCCCAGGACACCACACTACCTTGGCCTTGTGGGCCAAGAAGACCTCCTCTTTCATGTCTCATGAGTCGATTGCCCATTGTCCCAGGACACCACACCACCGTGGCCTTGTGGGCCAAGAAGACCTCCTCCTTCATGTCTCATGAGTCGATTGCCCCATTGTCCCAGGACACCACACTACCGTGGCCTTGTGGGCCAAGAAGACCTCCTCTTTCATGTCTCATGAGTCGATTGCCCATTGTCCCAGGACACCACACTACCTTGGCCTTGTGGGCCAAGAAGACCTCCTCTTTCATGTCTCATGAGTCGATTGCCCCTTGTCCCAGGACACCACACTACCGTGGCCTTGTGGGTCAAGAAGACCTCCTCTTTCATGTCTCATGAGTCGATTGCCCATTGTCCCAGGACACCACACTACCGTGGCCTTGTGGGCCAAGAAGACCTCCTCTTTCATGTCTCATGAGTCGATTGCCCCATTGTCCATTACTGTCATTCTAGTCCATGAGTGTCCTTGCACTGGATTTAGCAGAATGGATTGTGGGTTTTTTTGTTTTTTTTTAGGAGATCATCCAACTTTTATGAACACAAATTTAAATCTGGTTTGAAGGGATGATTTTAAGGGCTTCAGTCTACCCAAGAACAAAAGAAAGAAACCGGCTTTGACCAGCAAGATGGCCAAGAAATGAAATATCAGTCCACGGCAACAGACGTAGACTTTGACAGCCAGGTAGAGCTTCGCCGGCAAGGTTTCATGACCACGGCCAAACCTCTCGTCCTTTTGTAGCATGTAGTCATTTTCTCTTTCTCAGCATCTTTCACCACCCGTCATGGAATCCACCAACATCTCCTTGGTTGAGCGAGGTCCCCGGTAGCGCGTGCTGGCGTGGTGTGGAGATGACTCGATCTGCAGGAAGGATAATCTCTTAAAGGAATATTTATTAGTGCCTATACATCATACACTCTTTTAATGTAGGTATTAGTGGGTGTGTCTCAATAAGCACAATACTACTAATCGAGCCCCATGCTTCATCCCATACTAATTTTTGAAAACGGCAACTCTCCGAGGTGTACATAGACTTTGTTTTCGGGCTAACGAGGAGCGCGCTTCGTTTTTATTACCGGACAACTTCAAGCCAATAATCGAAAAGGGACGCCCGCGGTCCCATGGACGTTCATACACCCGCGCGGATATTTTATATAAAAAGAAACTCGACCTTTTAATGATTTCCACCGCCACCTTTTTATCTCCTTTTTTTTTTTATTTAATTCCATAGGACACGTGGAAATGTTATTTATTCCATCGGCAAATCAAAATTTTGGGTTTTCTCTGCGATCAGAAGGACTTTTTATGAGATTTATAACCTGGCGC